TTACTATGTTAGTCTCAAAGAATTAGTAAGTCAACTTTTCAAATTGTATTATTTTACCTCCTAGGTCATGGTAAATATAAAAGAATCTACTATCTCTTTTAGATACTGACGAGTTATCTGCGTCGTCATATCTAAGTCAAATAAACCTTGGTTCAAATGCTGGTAAGATGATACATCATCATCTATGCCTACTTTTCATACCCACGGGAACACTGTACATCGTATCCTTATAATCTTTCGGACAAATTTTGGGGTCTTCTGTTATTTAATAAACTTCTGATTAGAGAGTGCGAGACCTGCATATTCTCACATTATTCAATCGAAATTTAATTAAATAGGGGAAGCTGTCATACCCCAAATTTTCCCTATTGTTTTCTAATCATTTTATTCCTTATTAATCTCTAGAGTTATCATTTGCTTCATAATACATCATTGTCAAATTCAGGGGGTTTAAGTTTATAAAATGTGGTTTTATCCTATTGAAGAATTAATGGGTTTTTCTAAATCCAGAAAGCTCATGAAAAATTGATGGTCCATTAGGCTTTTTTTAGGAGGTGTGTTTACCTCTTAGCTCACTTTGATCTTGTTTTAAAGCCCATTGCATTTCAATTAAGGCTTTTTGGTTTCATTTTCAGCCCAGTTTAATTTTTGAAGGGGTTTATGTGAGGGCAAGATTCATGTTTTCATGATGTCAAAACCTCTCCTATCTTCAATGACATGTGTGGTACATAAAATATACTTGGGACAAAGTATGAGATGCAAACTTGGATGAAAATAACCTTTTTTGGCAGGAAAAACAAAGAATGCATTGACACAATACTAGCTACGGTCGACTCAAATCTTTGTGCTTCTCCCTGGAAGTGTTGCATCGACCCCTTGTTAGACTCAACCTGATTGTCAAAGAAATTTGAAGGCTACGTCGATGCAACCCTCTGGCGTGGTTGACACATTCAATCTTTTTGGCTTATCTCTTTGACGCGGGTTATGTTGCGTCGACCCAAGGCTCTGATGCGATCAACGCATTCAATATGTTTAGCTCATATCCTTGGTGCGGGTTATATTGCATTGACCCAAGGATCTGGAGCGGTCGACCGCTCACTTAACACTCTTAAAATTCTGTTTGTCATATTTTCTTTCTTTCTCATATATTATTGGTTTTTCACTAACACATATAAATAGAGTTTAGATTCCTTTTGAACATTTAACAAGAACTAGTGAAAGATACACATAGTGCTCATCATCTTTATCCTCTCTTCTTAAAAATCAACATCAACACATAATCATGGTTGTTGATTCAAGAAAAGTGTTATGATGATAACATTCAAATCAAGGATTCAATTCAGATTTGGTTTGAGCAATTATGGGTTGTTTTTGAATAAAATCATTTGGATTTTCTCCTCCAAGGTTCCTATTGGTGTGGGGGGTTTTGCACAAGTCTTTGCTTCATTGAATTCAGCCAAGTGAAAGGATTAAGAAACAGTGGGTTTGCTTGATCAAGTAGTGGTAACCGGAGGATTATGAAGATAGATTTGGGGTCAAATTGCTTGCGATCAAAATCGGCCGAGTGAAAGGATTACGAAACAGAGGGTTTGCTTAATCAATTAGCGGTAACCGGAGGTTTGTTCCAAGAATTTGGCATTTGCTTTGGCTCAAACCAAGGAAAGGGAAGAAGAATGTTACATCAGCAACATTGCTTTGTTTGTATTGTGAACTATCTCTTCTCTTGTAACATTTGCAACTTAATATCAAATATCTCAATTCTAGATTCTAGAATTGGGGGCAGACGTACCCTACGCGAGGACGACAAGGGTAACTGCCTTAACAAATTGTGTGTTCTTCTTTATTTTCTTTATTTCCATACTTGACTACTATAATTTGTAAAAATTAACTTTTCAAATCTGCTTGTACTGAAATTGTGGTGTGTTGAGATCATTTCACAATATTGGTAACAATCCTTTTGATTGATACCTAAGAAAACTCACCATTACAATTTAGTAAAATAAAACCTAAGGTGCATTGCTCATAAGGTGTTTGACAAATTACCTCATCCACAAATTATTCATTGTGTTTAGCTTTATCTTAATCAACTCAATGGAAGTAATTCATATTCATTCGGGGTGTATAAGTGATTGATCAATTGAGTAAAACGTATTGATTCTTACTTTGTCATTCTATCTCATACGGTTACACATATCTGATCTTTTCAATAGAGGATCGTTTAAACGATTGGAGATTTCGGGAGCTTTTGCATATATTTATGAAAAACAATTTTAAAAAGCGCAAGTTATTTTAAACGATCTATTCAATCCCCCTTCTATATCGATCACATTGTCTAACAGTTTACACTATTAAGAATTCTTGGGCCTTTCTAAATCAGAAAGGCCCATGTAAAATTGAGAGCCCATTTTATTTTTTATTAAGGATTTTTTGTTTTTAGCCCATTTCAAATGTTGAAGGAGGGTTTACGGTATTTGAGAAATCTTGGGTCTTTCTAAATCAAAATGACCCATTTACGTACAAAAAGGAGGGGGTATGGTTTTTTGAGATAGGTGGCTCAATAGTTAAACATTTGGCCCATTTCAGGTTTTTTGTTATAAGAAATTATATTTATTACTAACATTATTAAAGTCATTATCAGTAACGTTATTAAAAGCATTATATTATAAGCTTAATTAAAAATTATGTTTTGTTTTATTAATTAAAAAAATGTTTGACTAAGAAAAGTCAGAATTGGACTTTCAACCCTTAATCGCACGGTCCAGCTCATGTTAAGGCCCAAACCCAAAGCTAGAACACCTATTGTTCATATTAGGAAGGAAAAAAACACATATTTGAAACTGAAAATAGATATTGTTCAAATCATACTCAGATCAAATCTTTCATATTGAACTTTATTACAAATCAAAACCTTACAACATAAACAGAATCAATACAAAATCAAATTGAAACTTATTAAAACAGAATTGAACCAAATCGTATCAAACTTATTATAAAAACCATTTACAATCTAAAATCAATTAAAAACTAATCTTTAAATCCCTAATTTTGCTATCAATCTAAAAAATAACGACTATCATAAATTTTTTTCTTAAATAACCTAAATCTAAAAGCTATAAAAACCTAAGAATTCTAAGATAAGAAGGAGGAGAAAAAAATGACAGAGATCGGAAGAAGGAGAAGGCTTGAGAGATTTAACCGCCGCTGTAAACCCTTGTTCATCGCCTCTCCGTGCAAGCTTAGAGTTTCAAATCTGAAACTCTAGCTCTCCCCCGTTTACATTGCCGCTACGTACTCCACCACCACCGGCAAGTACCTGTTAAATACGAAAGGAAAAAGGGATCAGAATAAGTTACACAGAGGAGGCTGAAGAACAATCATGATCGGAGGTAACAAAAACCTACCTATTGTTTTTTTTTTGTTTCACGATTGGGGTTATGTTGGGGGAATTGAGGTTGTTTAGGGTTTAATCGTGGGGTTTGGGTACGATCGCCGCCGATTAGAGTTATGAGAGGAGTGGCGACGATTAGGGTTGTTGTATGGTTGTTATGGTGAGAAGAGAAAACGAGAGAGTTGGATCAGAGAGAGAGAATGAAAATGATAAAATGTTTTGTAGAAATAAAAATATAATAGTCTTGTAATTTTGTGTGTCGCGCCATACTATGCACCCTCAATAATTACCGTGTGATCACCATCAAACGCCCTGAAACGCGCGCCAATTGGATTATCATGCTCCTGTCCACATGCAGTCCAAACGGAATCCCAAACCCCTTTGGGCCAGACCCATTACTAAACCCACCTCCCTTGCTTTGTTTTGCTAACTACGTAAAGAACTCACACCCCCCTAACGCTAATGGGCGTAGTTCAACATTTGGACTTGGACCCTTACTCCCTGCACACCCCTGATTTGCTATCACGTTAGGATTCAACCCCCCTCTGCATTTGGGCCTGAATTCAACATCTGAATCCAGGCCCCTACTACCTATACCCCCTGTTTTGCTAGCCCAACATAATTTGCACCCCCTGTGTTTTTTAATTATTTTATTTTTATACTTTATTTATTTTTTATATTTTATATTCTTATATATTTATAAATTATTAGTAAATAAATTGATTATTATAAATTGATTATTTATTTTCTAAACTCATCCAAATATTTATATATTTATTACATTAAAATTATTTTTTATCATGCATTAATAAGATGTTTTTATACATTAATATATTAAAAAATATCTAACCAACACTAAACTCTTTTTCTATAATAAATTAAACTCAACAATAAATTTTCAAAAAAGATTACGAGAATATTTTAATCGACTGCGCAATTCGTCTAACTACTCCGCTATTCACACATCCAGATTAATTACAAGGGGAATTCAAATATCTTCGTAATCCATAAAAAACATCAATCAACTGCGAACTACGAATTGAGACTCTAATTCCTCCTAAGAGGATACTTAATCATATGACTAAAATCGTGGCGAGTTCCTCTAATAAAAATTAAAACCCTATTTCCTAAGCCGTAATTCTAAACCCTAGTATCCTTGTGAGTAAGGTATATGAGAAGTGTCTAACACCTTCTCCTCGTCTAAGAAAAAATCCAACAACTTAGAATCTCTGTCCACGTTAGAGTTATCCTTTATATTTCTTTCCTTAAGATAAAAATTAAGGGTGACGACTCCCGATTTAAAATCGATTACAACACTATATAGCTGAATATTAAGAGAATATTGGTTAATAAGAACTTCAACATACTCTTCAGTGTTATAAACGTGACTTGTTGGGTATATTTCGGGCATGAAGTAATTGTTAATGTAATCGTTGCCGCCAATATTCACATAATATAAGCACTTGTTCAAATATTTGTTAGCTTCCCATACACATCCAAGCTTGTTGACTATTTTTGAAACTATGATCTTATGATTATTTATTTGTGATTTCAACGGGATTCTTTCACCCGCATATATTGCATAATATTAATTAAGTGATCCGGTTTAAAACTATTTTAAAATAAATAGATAAAAAAGACAATATTCAATGAATACACAATTATATTCCAATTGTGTGCTAGATTCATCGCGAATTCCACCTGAACCACCAGATGCATAGTTAACGCCCATAGTGATGTCTGCGCCACTAGTGTTTGCATTAGGTGGGATGAACTTCTCGAATCCAAGTAGTTTGGCTAGAACGATACACCATTGATTGTGTGAGTTTAGCAAAATAATCAAAATATGAAATTAAAATGATGATAGTTATAGGGATGATAGATAGGCGACAAAGCTATGCTAACAGTAGTAATGTTGACAACCCTCCTCAAGTTGGATGGTGGATGGAACACAATCCCAACTTGGACACCATGGATGAAAAAACAGGAGAGTGAAGTGGTTTTGTAAACACATCGGCCAGCTGCGATTTTGAAGGAACGGAAAGAAGGTGAATTAACTTGGACTGCAACTTTTCCCGAATAACGTGACAATCCAGTTCTATATGCTTGCTACGCTCATGGAGTGTGGGATTCTGAGCAAGATAAATGGTAGACTTGTTGTCACAATAAACCGAAGCCAGTGTAGCTCACATGTTAAAGATGCCAAAGCACGGTATTCTGCCTCAGTGGAAGAGCGAGAAACCGTATTTTGCTTCTTAGATTTCCAAGAGACCAATGAAGTGCCAAATAATACGCAGTAGCCAGTAACAAATCGTCGGGTATTGGGACAACAAGCCCAGTCAGAATCTGCAAAATCGTGCAGCTGCAATGGAGTCTGACTGGAGAAGAAAATGCCTTTAGCCGGACAGGATTTCAAGTAGCGCAAAACGCGAGTAGCAGCATTATAATGAGGGACTAAGGGCTTGGAAACATACTGACTGAGATGTTGGACAACAAAAGAGATATCAGGCCTAGTATGAGTCAAGTAGAGAAGTCTGCCAATTAAGCGTCTATAGCCGGGTGGATCTGCATAAAGATCACCATCAGTAGCCGACAGTTTGGTGTGAGGGTCAACTGGTACAGGAGCAAGCTTAGCAGCAAGGAACCCAGTGTCTTCAAGGAGCTCAAGAACATACTTCCGTTGATTTAGAAAAATACCAAAGGAGGAACGAGCAATTTCTAAGCCAAGAAAAAACCGGAGTTGGCCAAGGTCTTTGATCTTGAACTGTTGATCAAGAGACTGTTTGACAAGCTTAATTTCCTCAAGGGACGTACCTGCCAAGACGATGTCATCAACATAAACAAGTAAATCTGTAAAGGAAGAACCATGAGACTTTACATAGAGGGAGTGATCAGCTTGAGAGGGTTTGTAACCCATAGACACAAGGGCAGTAGAGAGTTTGAAGTACCATTGGCGACTGGCCTGTTTCAAGCCATAGAGTGACTTGTTCAGTTTGCATACCTTCGAAGAGTTCATAGCATAACCAGGGGGAAGGGTCATGTAAACATCTTCATGTAGGTCACCATGAAGAAAGGCGTTATTCACATCCAATTGTTCTACAAACCATCCTTTAGCAGAAGCAAGAGCTAATAAAACATGCACAGTAGTCATCTTAGCTACGGGAGAAAAAGTGTCAAAGTAATCCACCCCTTCCATTTGTGTATAGCCTTTGGCCACAAGGCGAGCTTTGTACCTTTCTATGGATCCATTAGCATGATATTTGATCTTATACACCCATTTACAACCTATTGGAGTCTTGCCACAAGGAAGATCCACAACAGTCCATGTATTATTTACCTCTAGAGCTGCAATCTCAGCATTCATTGCCTCCTTCCAACAGTCAAACTTGGAAGCTTGGTTGTAAGTTTTGGGCTCAATGTTAGATGAAATAGAGCAGCAAAACAATTTATAGGCAGGAGAACAATGATTATAAGTCAAAACAGATGAAAGAGGATAAGCAGTAGAAGTGGAATTTTGATTAGTACAGCTAGATATATTATTGAAGTGATAGTCCTGCAAATAGCTTGGAAGTCTTTTAATACGAGTTGAGACTCTAAGAGGGGTGGAGGTACTGGTTTCAGTACTTACATGAGATGGAATATAGGTTGAGTTGGGTTCAGCTAAAGATGAGGTGGAATGAGAATGACCTATAGGTGACTGAAGTGGAGTAGGAGGGTGAACTGGTGCAGAATTAACAGGTGGAGATGTGACAGGTGACTGGTCTGCTATAGAAGCAGGGCAAAGTCCTGCAAATTTTGGTCCACAATGTTTAGGTCTGCAGGGTTCTGGGCAGCAGCAGTAGGGTTGATGTTGGGATTATGTGAGGGACCATTTGATAAAGGAGAGATGTCATCAATATCCAAAGATCCAACAGATATAGGAAAGTGCTGGGACTCCTGGGAAGAAGACTGATTGGATAGAGATTGAAATGGAAGGGTATCCTCATAGAAAATGACATTTCGTGAAAGGAAAATATCATGAGAGTGGAGGTCATAGAGGGTATAACCCTTGGTTCCATCTTTGTAGCCAATAAAGGCACATTTCTTGCTCTGGGATCGAATTTAGATCTGTGAGCTTGAATAGTTGTTGCATAAGCTAAACAACCAAAGACTTTGAGGTGAAGAAGGGTATGGGGATTTGTGGAGCAACTCATAAGGGGTTTTAGACTTAAGCAAGGGACTAGGAATTCTGTTTATGATGTGAACAGCATGTTGAATGCAGAAGCTCCATAAGGAGAGAGGGATATGAGCATGGAAGTATAAGGATCTTGCAACATTTAAAATATGCTGATGTTTACGTTCAACTATGCCGTTTTGTTGTGGAGTTTCAATACAAGACCTTTGGTGAATTATGCCTTTAGACTTAAGGAAATCAGTTAAGGTGACAAATTCAGTCCCATTATCGGATCTGAGACATTTCAAAGAGGTATTGAATTGATTTTCTAGATAAGCCACAAAATTAATGATGCAATTTTTGGTTTCACTTTTGCTTTTAAGGAGAATTATCCATGTGAACCTAGAGTAATCGTCCACTAAGGTAAGGAAATACCTATGTCCAGAAATAGAAGTTGTGGCAAAGGGCCCCCACACATCAGCATGCAATACTTGAAAAAGAAATGTAGAATTGGTAAAGCTATTAGGGAAAGATAATTTCTTTTGTTAGAAAAATGACAACTATCACAGGGTGTCATATTATTTTTACAAGGTATGTAAGGAAACTGCTTAGAGATAATTTGCATACCAGAATCAGAAAGGTGACCTAATCTGGAATGCCATTTCTCAAAAGAATTAGAGGAAATAGAATTGCAAGAAGAAAAACTAGTGGCAGTATCTATTACATACAATCCTCTTTGGAGCTTAGTTGTACCAATCGTTTCCAAGGAATGGTTCTGCAAGATTTGACAAGAGTTAGTGGTGAAACTCAAATGACACTTATTAGTGCTTGCTAACTTTGTGACAGAGATTAAGTTTACTTGAAAACAAGGAATGTAGAGGACTTGGTGGATAGTGATAGATGGGGATATAACCACACTACCCGAAATAGAAGCCAAGACTTGGGAGCCATTTGGTAAAGATACAGAAACAGGGATAATATTCTGATATGTAGTAAAACAGGAAAGATCAAAAGTGATGTGATCGGTAGCACCAGTATCTAATATCCAAAGATTGGAAGACTTACCAAGTTGGAAAGAAGCAGGAGAATGCATAGCAAAAGGAGCAGTTGTTACAGCATTAACTGCTGGTTGGGAACCAAGTTTTGACTGTTGAAGAGCTTCAAGAATGCCTTGATACATTTCCAGAGTAAATTGAAACGTGGACTATGCAGATGAGCCTTGTGAAACAGACTCCAAAACGGCAGCATTTGAGGTATTGTTGGCTTGAGATGAAGGATTCTTTTGCTTGTGTGTCTTGTAGCCAGGAGGATAACCAATCCTCTCAAAGCAGTTATCAACAATGTGGTTGTTCTTACCACAGTGGGTGCGAGTACGATTACCCCCTTTGAAAGAACCTTGTCCCTTTCCCTTATTGTAACTCCCTTTGTTATTGGAATTGTTGTGATTAGAACTAACTTGCATAGCTACGACAGGTTCAGAGGCAATTTCAGTAGCAGAATTTTGGTTAGAGCTAATCAGTTCTCGCTCTTGTTGCAAAACCAATGAAAAAGCATGTTCAATATCAGGCAGAGGCTTCATCATCATGATTTGTGATTTTGAGTGCAAGAAACGTTCATTCAAGCCTTTTAGGAATCGAATAACAAAGTCTTGTTCACGATAGGCTCTAACAGATTCAATTGCGCCACAAGAACAAGGAATTGAACACTTACAGTAAGGAAGAGGACGATAATTCTCCAATTCGTCCCAATAAACCTTCAATTGAGTGAAGTAATCTGAAATATCAAGAGTTCCTTGACGAAAGCGATACAAATCCTCTTGCAAATCGGAAATGCGGAAGATATCACTCTGTGAGAAACGCACGCGCAAATTCTTCCAAACTCCTGCAGCAGTATCGATCCAGAGGACAGAACGAGCAATGGATTCAGAGAGAGAACGATGAAGCCATGCCAATACCATTGTATTACATCGGATCTATGGCGCGTACATCGGATCGGAGACGGGAGGCTTCGGAAGGGAGCCATCAACGAACTTATCTTTGTTCTTCGAAATCAGCGAGATATGCATCGAACGTGACCAGGTATGGTAGTTCTTGGCAGTTAGCGGCGGCGAAACAAGAATCAGCGTCGGATTCTCGTTCGGATGCAAGTAGTAAGGGTTTGCAGAGTTGGTGGAGAAATCAATGTGGTTCTGGAGCGCCATAGATGCACCTTCAAGGAGAAAGAAGAAAGAAAGGAATCAAGATTCAGCCGGAAAAAGTGGTTACAACTGGTGGCTACCAGAACTCAGATGAGCTCTGATACCATGTTGACAAGAGGATCATGATAGTGAGGGAACTCATTCTTACTTTGATTGAATAATGAAAGTGATAATCTCACTGTTACATTGATGATTAGTAGCTTATATATACTGCTAGATAATAAAGCTAATTACAGTAAATAACTATTTACCAAAGAGTAAAAATAGTAAAGTTATGCTGACAGTAGTAATGTTGACAGATAGATAGGCGACAAAATATTGGTTTTAATTGTGCAAATAAGATTACTAATAGAGTCAATTGTTGTTAGTCCATTGGTAAACCGTCCTAGTTGACCAGTTGGTGGAAAGTCGATGCTATATGGCTCGTAATTAGCTTTTGCTTGGGTTACAAGGTTGTTGTTGTTTCCATTGTCAGACATGGAGTCACCAAATATGAAAATGCATGGCACTTGAGGTGATTCTCCGAAGACACAAGAACGTTGCACATAGCATGCAGCTAAGAGAAAGAGATGCAAAATCAACCATTTTTCAGTTTCACAAGCCATATATGATAACTTTCTAGGTAGCAAAATGATAATGTATATTATGATATTGTTAATGACTATGAAAATAAGAAGATGCAGGGTGTATATATAGGGTGTGTGTCGCCAAGATTGTCAAAACAAAATGTTAATGAAGGATCGGTGACGGCTTTGGCAAGTAATATAGTTTCTTAATAAAATATGAAGGTCCACAATTGATCAATTTTGTACATAGGATCTTAAAATTAAAAAATATTAAATTATATATTGTGCCAACCAAAGAAAAATAAATAATCCCCTAAACTATGTTACAAGTTTGCATGCATTTTTCGGTGAAATTGGTAATGAGATATGAGAATACTTCATTGCTGATTTGTAGGGTTAGCACTCTTTTTTATTGATTATGACAATTATGTACTGCAATGCTCATTATGTTAGTTTAACAGTAGATGTGGAAGGGACCGTCTCATCTACTATAGACTTCAGAAAATAGATTACCACTGAATTTATTTTCATATATGAAAATAGATTATTATTGACTTTTTTTTGGTAAGCAAAATTTGATTAAATGAGTACAAGGGATACTCTATCCCACATACAAGAAATAAACTCAATTTGAGAAATTCAAAAGGACATTTACACTAGTCGTAGAAGCTAGTGTGCAATATAGTCTTGAGTCCTATTACATACCAAACTCAAGACGCGATCTTAATGTTGTTTACAACATCTTCCACCTCTCCTATGTCATTCTCGAATAAGATATCCTTTCTCTTGATCCATAAACACTAATAGGTCGTCAACTACTCAATTTTTTTTTCATGTTTTGCCATTTTTCCTTTGAGTGCAAATGAAAACCTAGTGAAATGTCTACTATTCAGTACATCATCCATAGCTTAACATCAAGCAATTCAAACACCCTTTGCCATGTTTAGATAGAGAGAGAGGACCCTGGAACAACAAATGGATTGTTCTCTCATCCATTCTAAAGAAAAAGACACTCACCTTATCATGTGCATTCTACAAAATCCATCTTCTAGAAAGCTGACCATGAGTTGATAGTTTGTTTACTGAACAATCTCCACCCAAAAACCTTGATCTTCGATGGAACTTTGGTCTCCCACAACTTCTTCGAAGCTATCTTTGAACTTACCTCCAAGTCACATTCTTCCTCCATGCTCATGAGCCTATGATAACATGTATGAACTGTAAACATCTCATCTGCAGTGGATGTCCACACATACTTATCCCTCAAATTTCTTCTTACCTCGATCTCTATAAGAAGCATCTTTAATTCTTCACACATCTCAACAATATTCTTTTCATTACATGTTCCTACAATATGCAAGTCCCAGTTTCAAGATTCATCAATCAAAAACCCATTTCCTCCACACTCCCATCTTGTTTTGAAGACAAATTATATAAATTAGGAAACACCATTTGCAATGGTTATGGATCTAGACATTTTTCTTTCTAGAATGCCACTACACTTCTTACACCCAACCTACATGTTATCGAGTTTAAGAAATAATCCTCCTCTGAAAAAGCACTCCTTCCTATCAATTGAAGGTCCTTCCACCATGACGATTCCTTCATACATCTACTTGATTGTTTTGTGAATAACATTTTCATCTTGACGTCTCTATGCCCATGTTCTAGAATTCCTACAAGAATAGCCTTGGGTTCACCAAGTATCCTCCATTTCCATTTCCATTTCCATAAAGAGCCTTCTTTAGCTTTAGCACCTTTCCTTCATTTTCGATTTTCATGAATCCAGGGGGTTGTTCGATGTAAACTTCTTCTTCGAGCACGCCATTTAAAAAGGATGACTTGACATCCATCTAATGTATTTTCCATTTGTATTGAGCATCTTGAGATATGAGCAGTCAAATAGTCTCAATTCTCGCAACAAATGCGAAGAGTTCATCATAATCGATTCCTTTTTTCTGCCTGTATCCTTTCGCCACAAGTCGCGCCTTATATCTTTCGATTTCATCTTGTACATTTATCTTTTTCTTAAACACCCACCTCACACCGATTGTTTGACTTCCTTTTGGTAACTCTGCTAGTTCCCAAGTATCATTGCGTTCGATGACCTTAATTTCTTCATTCATAGCATCCTTCCAATTTTTGTTTCTTATTGCTTCTTCGAAACTTACATCTTCAGTGTCTGCCAACAAGCATACGAGATGCATTTCTTCTGTGTTTTCATACAAGTCTTGTAAACTTCGTAACCTAGGCTACGAGGGTCCTTCTTCATCATCAAGTCTTCTGGTTCTGTCGAAGTATCTTTCGATATAGCATCTGGTACTTCAAACACAACTTTAGTAGAGTTGTTTCAGTCCCACTTGCTTTCTTCGTTTACTCGAACATCTCTACTTACTATCACCTTTTTGTTTATTGGGTCGAAAAGTCTGTAACCTTTCGTTTTCTCATCATACCCAATAAGTATGTATTTCTAACTCTTATCTTCCAGCTTTGTTCTTCTTTGACCAGGTACATATGCATAAGCCACACTTCCAAACACCTTGAAGTGAGACACAGTTGGCTTTCGACCAATCCAAACTTCTTGAGGTGTTAAATCTCCCTGCTTCGAATATGGACATCTATTATGAACGTAGATTGCACATTATACTGCTTCTGCCCAAAACTGCTTCGAGATGTTTTTGCTCTTCAACATTGATCGAACCATGTCAAGGATAGTTCGATTATTCATTTCCGCTACACCATTTTGTTGGGGTGAGTAAGCTGCAGTCAGAAATCTTCTTATGCCTAGCTCTTCACAGTACTTCATAAAGGTTGTCGAAGTATACTCCCCACCTTTGTCTGATCGAAGGGATTTAATGTGTTTGTCTGTTGCTTTTTCAACCATTGTCTTAAACTTCTTGAATACTTCGAAGGCTTCTGACTTTTATTTCAGAAAATACACCCAAGTTTTCCTTGAGTAATCATCAATAAAGGATATAAAGTACTTTTTGCCACTGAAGGATTCTGGGGTAATTGGTCCACATATGTCAGTGTGAATCAATTCCAAAATTTGTTTGGCCTGATATTCTTCCTTCGATTGGAATGAGGTTCTCGTCTGTTTTCCAAACACACATTCTTCACAGAATTTTTCTTCTAATTCCACGTCTGGCAGTCCATGCACCATATTTTTCTTTGCTAACCTCCTTAGTCCTGCTTGATGTAAATGACCAAAGTGTAGATGCCACAGGGATGCTTAGTATTCGACACTGACTTACAAACACTTTTCTCGAATGCTTCTCAAGTTCAACTTGTACATTCAATTTCTCTCCATTTCTACCTGAGCAATCAGACGTCCTGACTTGTCTTTTAAGTGCAAGCTTCGATATTCCATGAGAATCGAATAACCCTTTTTTGTGAGTTGTCCCAAACTCAAAATATTTTCTTTGAGGTTTGTTACATAATATACATCTTGGATAGATCCTATCAAATCATCCTTCTGCAAGAAACTGATTGTTCCTTTTCCTTCGACCATTAATTTCGACGCATCTCCAAATGAAACATGACCATCTTCAATTTTCTTTATTTCCTTGAACAAGTGCTTATGACCATACATATGGTTGCTTTCTCCTGAGTCCAGGTACCACATAGTGTCATTTTCTACATCTGCTTCCTATTGAGTCATTAACAGAAATCCTTCATTTGATTCTGTTTCTAGGGCAAGATTTGTTGTTTCTTCTACCTTTCTTATGAGACGAAAATCTTTTGCAATATCTCCCATTTTACCACAGTTGTAGCAACTATAGGATTTGAAATCTTTCGCTTAGTGACCCTATTTGTTACATTTGTAGCATCGATATTGTTGTAATTCGATCTACCACCTCTTTGGCCATGTCCTCTTCCACGCCAGTTTTGTTGGCTTGAATGTCCTCTGTCGAAGTTGTTATTTTGGTAGCTTCGACCACCATTACGTCCTCCACGACCATGTCCTCTCCCACGCCAATTTTGAGAGAGAAGTTCCTTTTCATCTCTGTTGGGTTCTGCATCCTCAAGTGCTTCCTCCTTCTTCTTTATTTTGCATTGTTCATATGCCTCAAGCGAACCAGCCACTTATTCGATAGTGATTGTCGAAAGGTCCTTTGCTTCTTCTATTGCATGTACTATGTTTTCGAACTTGTCTGTCAAAGATCTCAGAATCTTTTCGACAATACGAGCATCAGTCATTGCTTCTCCATTTCGATTGAGTTACTTTGCCATCGTCTGCACGCGAGTGATATAGTCCGATATAGACTCTGTCTCCTTTATCTTCATTCTCTCTATTTCTCCTCAAAGATTCTGCAATCGAACTTGCTTGACTCTATCTGCTTCTTTGAAAGCTTTTTCTTGCGTTTCCCACGCCTCCTTCGATGTAGTCAAACCAGCAATCTTTTTGAAAACTGATTCATCAACTGCTCTGAATAGCATGTACAATTTTGTTTTATCTTTTGCTCGCGTTTCTTTCAACACCTTGTTCTGAGTAGTTGTGTTTTCCGTCGTATTTGATGGTTCTTCAAACCCATCGTTAGTTACTTCCCATACATCTAACGATCCCAACAGCGCCTTTATCTGGATACTCCAATTCTCATAATTCTACTTTGAAAGTCGTGGCAATGGCATTTGACCCATCATATTTGCCATGCGCTCTGATACCAATTTGAAGAAAATATGAAGAGAATGAGAGTGGGCTATGAACTTCTTTCTTTTATATATTGTCCAACTAACTTTAAATATGAGATACAATGTATTGTACCCCGAAATTTTCCCTCTCATTTCTCAAGGGATCATCCTTGACCCTCGGGATTGCTTCTGTCAAGTTTCATGTCTCAGATTACAATTTTCCAAGAAAGTCATTCACAAGGGCAAAATGGTCAAATGTACACTGAAAAGTCAAACTTTGACTTTTTGATCAAAATCAAGTTTCAAAAATCATATTTCATCAAGACATGAAGTTGGTTCATCAAGAAATCAAAATTCAAAGGTTACTTTGAAAAGTCAAATTTCTAAACACTTAGAAAAAATTTTAA